AATAAAAATAATATTTAAAAAATATAATTCTAAGTATATTTTTTTTCATATATATTGCCAAAATTTTTTACTTCCTATTCTTATATATTAATTTATTATTAAAAAATTTATTTATTTAAATATTCATAATTAATTTTTTTTTAAATTTTTTTAATTTAATTATTTATATTTATTTATATAAATTTTGAAATTTATTTTATTAACAAATATCTTAAAAAATAAATTTATTTCACTTTTTCTTTTTATAATTTTTTAATATTTGCATTTTTTAATTAAAATTATTATTAAATTTCATTTTAGTTTAAATATTTTTAAAACATTTAAATTTCATATTTTTTTAAAAAATATTAAAGCTTTTTTTTTATTAAGTTTTTAATTTTTTGTATTTTTTTTATATTTTATTTAAAATATTCAGGCGAAAAAAAATAGTTAATAGTTTTTTTTGATTGATCTTATTAATTTTTTTAAAAAAATATATAAAAAACAATTTAATAAATAATATTTATCATACATTTTTGAGTTTAATAAATTTTTTTAAATAAAAAAATAAAATATATACATTATATATGTATTTAGGATTTATTTAATTATATGTATATTTAACAAATAAAAATCTTAAATTTTAAAATCATATTAGTTTTTATATTTGTATTTCTTAAATACTTGAATATTTTTTTAAAACAAACTTGGTTCAAATTATAAATGTATTAAAAAAATATATTAAATTTAAAAATAAATCAAAAATTACTTAAGTTTTATAACAAAATTAAAAATATTATATAAACAAAAGGAGAAAAAATCAAAATAATTTGAAGTGAGAAAATAATTATTAATTTTTTTATAAAAATAAATTTATATTTTCATTTTCTATATTTATAACAAATAATATAATAAGAAAACAAAATAAATTTTTCTTCCAATATTTTAATCATTTTGTAAATTAAATCAAATTATGTATTTAATGAATTATATGTATGTTTTCAGAATATAATTAATATTTAATATTATGTTAAAATAAATTTTTAAACTAGTTTTATAATGTATAAATTTAAATAAATCTATATATACAAATGATTATAAAAATTTGTTTATGATTATTAATACAATCATGAAAACATCTTAATTAATTATAATAATAATTTAATAGATTTTTTTAAAATAAATTATATATTTTAAAATTTAAAAATACGCCAATATTAATATTTTTTAATAGAAAAAAAAAAAAAATTTATTTAATAAATTTAAAAAAAAAAAAAAAAATAATTTATATAAAATTTATTTATTATTATAATGAAAATAAAAAAAAAAAAACTAAATAATATTTATATATTAAAATAAATAAATTATAAATATAAAATAAATAAAATATAAAAATTCAAACATAAAACATATTATAAATTAATATATCATACAAATTTATTCTATTCTTTTTTTTTTATTATTTATATATCATTATTCTTTTTTTTTTTATTATTTTAATTCATATTTATTTTTTTGATCTTATTTTTTTAGTCTTTATTAATGAGACTTATCTCTATCTGCAAATTTCCAAAAATTTAATCTATTTTTCAGGTTCTTTAATTCTTGCATCTTTAATCCACCAATCAGGTTCTTCATTTATAAATTTTTCAAAATCTTATTTATATTAACATTTATCTTATAATAGAACTAAAACAAACTCATTATTTAGTTTTTAAACGTCAAAATAATTATAAAAATCTTCTAAATATTTTTCATTAACTTCTTCATAAACTTTAGTAATATATTTTTTGAAGCCTTTAAGCAGATTTTTAGTATAATTACTTCTATTTTATGATTCTCTGTATTATATTTATTTTTATTTACTCCACCCTTATTTCATAGTTAAAGATTTTTTCTTTTTATCAAGTTTTTATTATTCTTATTCTTCTTTTTTTTTAGTTCTTAATTATTCTCATCCTCAATTTATATATATTCTTATTTTACAAATTATGTTTTAGTAGAAGCAGAATATAAACTTTATAATTATTAAGGATTTTATTCTAATTATTATTAAATTTATATATTATATTTTACAGGTTCGTTTAAATGTGTTAAGTTTTATTATTGAATATTGTGTTTACAAACATTACACAAATTATTATCAAGCATCTTTAAGTTTTATTATAAAAATTTATTCATTAGTTATTGTTATAAAAGTTAATTATTGTATTACATGTAAATTAATTAAGAATGATTATTAAAATATTAACTGTTTTCATATTATTGTTATTATTATTTTTATTATTATTATAATAATAAATTTTAGTTCAATAAATTAAGCGAAAATTATTGTTAGTTCATTTTTTAAAACTAGAGTTTTATCGAGTTTGTTTTTTTTTTTTTTTTAGATTATTATTTTTTTATTTATTTTTTTTATAAATTTTTGTTAATTTAAAATTAAAATAAAAAAATTATTTTATATTTTATTTTTCTTAAATTTTAAAATGAGTTTTAATATTCCCCCACAATTTAAATTTAACCAATATATATAAAAATATATGTATTTTTTATTAATTAACAATAAAGAAAAATTCAAAAAAATATTAAGAAAAATATATTTATAATGCAAATTTAGCAAATTTTTCTTTTTTTTTTCAATTCAAAAATAAAAAATAAAAAATTTGATAATAAATAAAAATATGTATTTATATAAAAATGAGCAATATACTTAAAAAAAATATAAAATAAACACTAAATATTAAATAAAATAAGCTAATATAGATTAAAATATGTAGTCTTTTTTATAAATTGTTATAAATAAATAAAAATTCAATTAATAATTTAACTTATATATAAAAAAATATTAAATTTATCTATTCTTTTTTAAAACTCAATAAATATATTGGAAAAAAATATATATATTATTTATTTTAATTTAAGTTAATAAACAAACAAAATATATGAATGATGATTATTTATTTTTTTAATATTAATAAAAACCAATAATATAACATAAAACACTATATTAATACCATATATAATTATTTATAAATATGAATATGTAAAAAAAAATTAAATAAATTGAAAAATTCAATTATATTTCATTAAATTATTTTTAATAATTAAATATTATAAAAAAATATAAATTATAATAAAACAATACAATAATTAAAATATTAAATTATTTATTGATTATAGGATATAATAAAAAACTATATAAAAAAAAAAAAAAATGCAATAATTAATTTATAAGGTGTATAAATAATAATAACTATTATAGAATATTTATATAATTTTTATTTTAAATAATTAAATTAAATTAAGAAGAAATTTATTTAGTATATTTAATTTTTATTTTATTTATATAGTTCATTTATCAAATTTATTTATTAAGAATAACTTATAAATATGATTAAAAATAAATTTAAAATTTATTTTATATATACAATTAATTTATCTTTTATTTATAAAATAATACATATATAATATATAAAAAATTAATTAAAATAATTTTATTTTATTATCAAATAATTTATAAAAAAAAAAACATATAAAAAGGAAATATATTATAAAATTACCTTTTATTAATAAAAAAAATAAAAATATTAAATATAATAATATAGTATAATAAATAAAAAAATAATAAAAAAATATTATAAACATATAAAATATAATAATAAAAT